GGAACACGGTAAAACCCTCTCGCTGTAAGAATGTGCATGATCTGCACACCATTTGCCGCCACCTTCTCCGATCCCAAACCCGCCGCCCTACCTCAGGGAATCCCAGTACCCTATAATAATCATAATAATAATAATAATAATACTAATTATAATACTAATAATCATACTAATAATAGAACGTGCACGTTGCAGAATGCATCGTGCTCCGTGGCCTTCGACAGGGACAGCGCGAGGCGGAGAGTGGTCGCGTCCGAGCCCAGAGGCATCCCTGAGTTCTCCTCCGGGGCTATTATAATTATAGTCTAATGGGCGCCAAAACGCTACGCGAATTATTGAAGCCCCTATATCCTATATTACAGTATTCTGTGGGGTTTTCAGAGGGTTCGGGGGTTTGGGGGTTTAAGGTTTATTCGGGTTGAGGGTTCAGAATTTGTTTTGGCATAGCGAGGCACATGGAGGTCTTGCGTGAGGGATTGTTTTCCTGAGTTGCTCGGTCGCCACAAACTAGTATGGCATGAGCTGAAACCCTCATAGAATACTTTAGCTTATAACGCCGGGGCGCCTTCAGCTGCACGGCTTTCGAGCCTTTTCCGATTGTCGCTTGGACCGTGAAGGGCGTCAGGTTCAGCAGGAAAACACCTTGCTGAACGCGCAGGATCGAAAACTAACCAGAGTCTTGTGAGTTCAACGCGAAGCCCCCAGCCTAACATCTCCTGTTCATGAAGCCGCGACAGGCGCGAATGCTATAGGCACAGATGGTCGGTGCCTCAAGAAGTCCTAAAACTGATTCCGATGGCCGTGCACTGGTTCGACGTGCCGCGCCCCGGAGCAGATGGCTTCCGAAGCTCTACGACGCATGAAGCAGAAGGCTTCAAAAACAACCCGAACCCTACACCCCTCGACGCCAAATTCGCTCAACCCTAAATGCCTGAACTGAAACCTGAAATTCCGAAAACTCCAAGGCCCCAAACCGTCAATCCCCAACGCCGAGGCTCATAAAATCCCTTATAGAACCCGTATCATAAGCCCCCCGTTTGATCCATAAGCCCTAAATCCACAACCCTCAACCCCTAAACCCTAGCTTCTAGACCCTAAACAGCTAAACCCCGAAACCAAAAGGCCCTTAGCCCTAAAGGCAACCTGCCCTGCGACCACTCTGACCGGGTGGCCCTTGGCCGCTTCCTTGAGTCGGCCCCCCGGAGCCTTGGCTACGTTTGGGTTGAGGGACTTTTTTGACGTAGTGGCTGGTGTCTCGTGGCTCACTTCTAAATTCTGGCTTACTCGTAACCAGGCAGTCATACAAAGGGCCACTCTGCAAGCGCCTCCTATCAAAGCGTTTGGGACCGAAAATATCGGTATGGTTTCTAACAACCGTGGGTTTGGAGTTTAGGGTTTAGGGTTTAGGGATGTACTGGTAGCGCTTGCAGGTGTTCGGCCCTCACGCACGTACGTGTCTTTTCTTACTCATAAGTTGTTGCTTGCACGGTTCCTTCGCTATTATTGTCCATAAGCCTGCTGCAGCTATACCTTTGTAATGACTGTGAACACATAGATTTGTTCTGCCCTGCCCTCTACATGTTCACGGGTCCGCAAAACAGGAAACCGAATCAGCCTAAAGCCTAAACCCTCAAGATTGCAAGCAAGCGGCCAAGCGCCGTCCATAGATCAATGCGAGGTCACGGAGGCGCGCGAGGTCGTAACTCCCAAAAGGAATGATTCAGAAAGGGCTTGGGGGAAAGAAACCATAGATTTCCAAGGGAGGGTTGAAACCAAGAGTAGAGGAGGCCCGCGATCAGAAGGTCGAGGTTCGGAGCCAGATGTCGAAAGGCACGTAGGTACAGCAGTCAAAGATTTGAAACATGGTGAACTCGATTCTCCCTTGTTGTAGATCACAGTATCGCCGCTCATCTTGAAGCAAGAAGCAAGTCGTGAACGGCTACATCCACGCCACCACCACCCCACGACCACAACAACAACAGCAAGAGCAACAGCAAAAGCAACAGCAAGAGCAAGAGCAACAGCAGCAGCAACGACAGCAGTTCGAACTTCGACTAAAAGGTAATGATGCGGTGGTTGCAAGGAGACAAACTACCATGTTCACTGTATCCATACACCTACGACTTGAAAGGCGATGGCAGAAACGGAGTCGCGAAGATGATGAAATTGATGCTCTTAGCTTCAGAAGAGTAGTACCAACGGCAAGAAGAAGAAAGAGAAGAAGTAGAAGAACAATGCAAAACAACAGCGCTTCAATAGCGGCACTCACCAGCCTCAGCACTTCGGAATCAGATGCCATGACTGCCGCGGCGTGCGAGACGGCAACCATTGTCTTGACGTCAGTTTCGCACGCATCCTCGCACGAAGGTGTAGAAGCCAGCAAAACACCATCTTTCCGGATTGATAACCGCCTGTCCTGAATTATCCTGAAGCAATCGCTTTTCATGTTTAATACAAAGGACATCGACATAGCGAGGGTCTCGAAAGATCAGGTTCGATGTATGCTCTTGACTTGGTCAAAAGACTCGTGACTAGTCTCCGCAACACAACTTGTGGAGGCGCTGCAGCTGGCAAAGCTGCTGTCTGGTTACGTACTCTTGAGCCTCGAGTGCAGGTAATCGTCTTCAGAAGTCGCCTAAGGTCTGCAACACGTCAGGAACGCATCTTTTGCCATATGCTTTATACCACTGAGGGAAGATTACAACCGCGAGGTCAAGGGAAACAACACGTCATGGCTCGCATGGTAGACAAGAACATGGTCTTCGCCTCCCCCGCCGAGAACACAAGAAATCAAAAACCTACCCTCTGCACATGTTGCTACATCGTGAAGGCGCCCAACCCCACATGAGACGTCCTTGGAGAGCCAGCCCAACCATGCTCGCACGCTCCACTCCGTGGGAAATCGCCTGTAAGGATTTTTTCGCGACTTTAAGCACGTCGTGCCACAAACCCCAACTTCGAATCCACGGCGGGTGTGAAGGCGTGCGATTTCCGAACGTGGTAAGTGGCTGGCAGAGAACTCAAGCTTCCGTACCAAAGGCTCATCAGCCTTCCACATCGAAAGCCCCTAAACTGTGAGGCCTGACGGTTCCTTCTGTGAGCTCCCGGATAGTTGGCGGCCTGCCGGGGCGATGGCGGTTGGGGCTTGGATTTTGCAGTTGAAGGCTCGGGGCGCAAAAGCCTATGGGAGTTTGAGCACCAAGAGGCTACATCAACGGCATCAAGTGTCTGAAATTAGTTGTCAGCTGCAGATGAGTATCCTAGGGCTGGAAGGTGTGGATTTGGGCCAGTGACCAAGACACCCGGTCCGTCCCTGGGGCCTGAGCGCCTCCTCCTGTACCAAGCGTGCCTGACGGGTCCTTGGTGCACGATGCCAGCTAGTCTGCTAGCTGCATCCCCGATGTGGGCTGACACACCGGAACCTGTCGAAAGCCACAGGGCAATGGCAGAGGAATATCTAAGATAAAGACGCACAAGCAGAAGCAGAAGCAAAAGCTGAGATCCTAAGCACTGTTTGGAAATTGCTAGGCCTCGGTGGCACATAAGCTCACTTGTAACCTACTTATTAAGTCCCCTAGTTCCGAAGTGTCCGGTCTTCGATCAGCTCACCTAAACATGCCAAGCATCATTTCGGCGATGCTGGTTGCAGCCTGCAAAGGGTACTGTGAACTCCCATTTCGGGAGTTGTTCGGAGGGTTTGCTGAGGCATTGCCAGATCGCTAGACCCTGACAGCCTCCTGTGTAACGGCGTTCTCTGTGACGTCCAGCGCCGTGAGTCGCCAATTACCTATCCGAACGGCTTCTTGCTGTTGGGTTCATCATAGGGCTTTAGAGATTGTCTAGCTTCCTGATAGGACTTAAAGAGTTTATAGGAGGGTTTCGGGGCGCAGAGCTTTCTGAAGCTTCGAGTGGCTGTGTTGCCGAGGAAGACTTTCCGCCCGAGTGCCGTCACGATGGCGAGGGGCTGTGCTTAAATGCATCTCAAGCACTGCTTTGAAGTGTTGCGGGGATTTGGGGGGGCGTAGGGACTGACAGGGATAGAGACAAGGCCACACCCCAAACTGTCGTGACCTCGATGAGACTCGACATTTCGCTACCCCGTGCCTCGTAAAGCCTGCACCAGGGACGAGCCTCCTGCAGGCGTGAGGTTGAACAGATTGCGCTGAAGTTGCAGGAGATGGGGGTTTCCGCAAATAGGGGGGGGTACCTTGTTTTGGGGTCCTTATAATAAGGATCCTATTTTTTGGGGGTACTATATTAGGGTCCCCTATTTTCGGAAACCCCCAGATAGCTCCAGGGTTCTGATGCCCTTCGTTCCCTACGGTCTTCTCATGCGGGCGGTATCTGAAATGACAATATCAACACCTCCTACGAGTAGCCCAAATTGGCAAAGGCCCAGAAGTGTAGCCTTTGCGGTGAAGCTTGTGCTGTGGGCCTGTGGGCACAAGCTGTCACTGGATGAGCCACCGTACTTTCGTACTTTCGGCATCACCAACTCAAGTGCGATCCCAATCCCCGAAAGCGTCAGTTTTGAGCATTTTGCCATGTGGTCGTTCATTGTGTAGGAGTGGTAGTACGTCTCTGCCTTTGCAGACTACCGGGCGGCGGAAGTCTCCTTCAAAACACCGAACTCCCCATGCGTGCCCTAGCGCTCACACCGGTGCCTGCGCTGCCAACCCCATTGCTCCGCAGAGAGAGCTCCTGTGCCGGGCAACTGAGAGTTCGACTCTGTCACTGTCGGCACATCACAAATCTTGCAGAATGAGCATCTGCATGTGTAGTTGTCACCCTGCTCGACGGTGTCCGAGCATTGCAGTCTGCTGAAGCTTGAAGCCCCAAAGCCCCAAACCTCTGAAAGCTGCGCCTGGAGTCCGCAGTTCTTTGAAATTGCGGCTGCGAGAGCCGAGGCACCTGCGTCCTGTGGGCATGGAAACATCGGAAAGCCGAGAGATGAAACCATCAGAAATCTGTCTCCAAAGCACAGGATATGGGAGAACGAAAATTCAAGTTCTCGAAGTCTCGAACTTTGCCTGCAGCCGCCAGGCTAAAACCTATAAAGCCTGCCTGTTGGGCATAAGGGTTTACAAACCCGAAGCCGGCAAAAAAACCTCCAAAGCCGCAACAGAAAGGCCCTGTCATCGGGCTCCCGCAGCTCGTTGCCCTGGAGGCCCAGACGCCGCAGGGCGCCATGCGAGCGAAGCGCAGCTGCCACGGCCACGGCGCCTCCGTGGGGTTTAGGGGGGCTAGCCCTTTCTGTTTAGGGTGTGGGGTTTAGGGCAGTTTTAGGTAGAGGGTTTAGGGTCTAGGGTTTGCTGTGAAGTTGCGCTGCAGCAGTGAAAGCCTGACATGCAACAATGGCCAGACTGCAGAAGGCAATCCCCCACAAAAGCACCCAAGCAGCAAACACTCTTACCAATCATTCGGGCCAGAAAAATGAAACCCCCCTGAAGCAATGCAGCAGCAAAGTCCGTGCAGATCTCTGCGGTCTAAGCGGCCTTCAGCTCGTACCTGCCCCGTTCAGGGCTTAGGGTTTAGGTCCTTTAGGCTTTGGGGCTTAGGATACAGGGCGCGATCGATCTGGGGCGAGTGGAGGATTTACGGATGCTTCACTTTGCAACATGACGGCTTCTGGCTATGGCTTTCACTGTCGCTTTGAGTAGACAGAACCTGCTTAAACATGCAGCCGGAGATGCGGCGAGCCTAGCGACCCTTCACACACAGAAACCAGCTTCTAAAGCTCTCCGTGCTCTCCATAGGCCATAAGCTCCATCATCCTCGAAATCCAACGCTGGATACGTCCTGACCGTCACAAAGCAATGCGATCCTGAAGCCCCAGTCTTTCGGATTGCCTCTGCGATAACAAACTCCAGGCTCTGACACCCACTGTAGTCCCCGACGAAAGGAATGCTGTAGCGTGCAGGCAAAGCCTAAGCTTTTTAGGTCTGAACCCATCTCCCCGAGGCCTGGTTGAAAGCCAGCTCTAGTTCATGGAGCCTGGCTTTGGTGCTGTAGGGCTTTCCGGGTATTTGCCGGGTTTCTTAGTGAGGTCAGGGCCGAGCGTTATTTAATTGGGGTCGATAATCAAGGAGTGCAGAGCTTTGGGGTTGCAGCCGGCCTCTTAAGGTGTCATCAAAGGTATATTACGCTATAGCTTGGGGCTTCCACATCATGCCGAGGGTATGCAGGCGTGGGCTGCCTGGCTCAGCATGCAAACCTCACGCTACATGAAGGCCCTTTTAACTACACCATCTCGCGACACGACGGAACAAAGGTCTTTGGATTCAGGAGGCATCGTGTGGCTATGGCTTGGGGCGGAACGATGTTGAAGAGGGGGTCCAGCCGTCGGGAATGCAGAGAATGGGAAAGTTTCCGAACGCGACCGCCGGCAGTCAGCATCAGTCAACGTGGTTCCAACCCTTGGAAATTTCCATACTTCTACCCTGAACCCTAAACCCTAGTTAAACTTCAGCGACGGTGGAAGTGGCTAGTCCGGGTTACAACCTTTTCCCGCCTCCCGGCGCCAGAGACCAGCGCAGCGGCGCCCAAGTCTCCCACGGCATTGTCCTCCAGCCGCAGGACCTCTCGAAAGACACTAGTTCTGTCCACAGGTGCCTGCCTACCTACCTTACCTGCGTACGCACGGGCAAACAGACGAACAGCCAGACAGACAAAGACAGACAGGCAGACAGACCGACCGACAGACAGACAGGCAGGCAGAGACAGACGTTTAGCGCATGAGCAGGAATTTACGACTTCATGCTCGGAAGCCTGATTGGATTTAACTTCAGTCTCAAACCTATTCTCTGTGCGAACAAAACCTAGGAGCCATCGAAGGTCAACCTACCTTCGCATCAGGCCTAGCATCCATTCCGGGCGCCTTGAGTGTTGTGTTGCTCATCAGCGCTTGCGCCAGGGCCTGCATCGGGAACCATGTCATGTCATCTCATGTCATGTATGTCATGCCATACAAATCGAAGCTAACCTGTGCAGGTGCGTATGCATGTATGCATGCATGGTAAACAACCGGTAGCAAGTACAAACATAAAACTGACAGCCTCTACACGTGTTCATCGTCTTGTCTCCGGACTCCCCAGTGTCCCCACATATGATGTACAGTGAATTCCTGCTGATATTATGGTATATTGTATTGTACAACATTATACTGTATTTGACTATACCATACGAAATAGTATAGTAAAATACTAAATTTATATTATACTATACTATACTGCACTATACTATGCCACATTCTATCATGTTGTAGTATGTTCTCTCATGTTGTAGTGCATTGTCTTTTTTATTGCGCTTTCAACCATTACATCATATTGTATTGTCTTAATTTATCTTGTCTTACATCATGTCATGTTGTCCTATGTCGTATGACAGTATGGTACATTTTTTGTTGTGTGACATATTATCGTATATTCTACCATAATTGCTACATATTATGCTATGTTGTCTTAAAGTATGTTCTGTGATAATGCATAATGTATCGCTGTTCTACACTTGTTGTACTTTGCGAATAAACATGTTAGATGTACAAATAACAAAGCAGATATACATATATATATATATATACACACACACAGTTAGCCAAAATGTATGTGTATACATATATATATATATATAGACACGCACACACACGTACATCTCACCGTGTATATACATATTTCTATACATATATATATATATATACATACCAAACGCAATCTCTTCAAATTCCGTAGATTTCTATTAATAGATAGACTACGGTTTGGCGTCTGTTGTACTATACTGGCTGCGCTTACAAGAAGCCCTAAGTAAGGAAAAGTATTCGCATTTGCTCAGGTTCTTATCTATGTATATATATGTATATATACATAGATATACACCTATACATATATATATATATCTCTCTCTCTCTCTCTCTCCCTCCCTCTCTGGTCTTAGGATTTGGTGGAACATGTATTTCTGTGTTGAGAAGGCCTCGGCTCCTTCGGAGCCAATGCGGTTGTAGCCAAGATCCAGCCGTGTCAGGGCCCTGAGTGCAGACAGGGTTTCAGGTTGCGGGCTGTCGGGCTGATTAAGGCTTCGAGGATCTGGGGCAAATGCGTAGAGAATTATCGTGTGTACATGGTTGGGATGTAGGAACAAGGGGTTCAGCCAGAGTGTAGCGTGGAAGATGCTGATAGCGGCGCAAGGCTTGCGGGCTGCCCTCAAAACAAACCTTTGATGCCAGAAGCGGCTCCTGACAGTGCCTATGAGGCACTAGTAGCACTTGCCCCGCTGTTCGAGGGCTGTGCCGAGGTTCCAACAACTTCGTGGCTTGGCTTCCGAGATCGATGCTGGCTTGCCTTCCCTTCATAGAACCCGGTACAGTTAGACAGCGATTCACGAACCACATCATCTTTTCGACACTGCTCGTAAGCGTCGCGGCGTGATTGAAGTGTTCCCCAGTTATCATGTCGGCACGCTTACCCTCCGGATGCTCCCACGGGGCAGTTGCAGAACTCGAGGGCACATTCAAGTTGGCATGCAGCAGCAAAAAGCAAACCCTCAAAACCTGCAAAGCCACACCATGCAGTCCTGCGACGTTTCACACAACCCAGTCTATCCTATTGTCAACCCTTCTATTCATCCAAACCTTTTACATACATGTCCACGCACCTGTGGAAGTTGTAACCATGCCAGCTTGTGCTTTCCATTCTCATATTGAGTACCTGCGCATACTATGTAGATGGGAAGAAGATGGGAAATGTACATAAACGGGCACATACTCACTTATCTACTCCGCAGTTGCTCACCTTTCTGATCCGAACGTACCATTCAGTGTCTTCGTAATGCTCCGAATATGCTTCATGAACCCTGCCTTCCACACAACCCTCTACGATAGCATTTCCCTAAACCCGAAACCCTGAAACCCAAACCTTAACCCCCCAAAACCCGCCTCTCCAAAAAAGGAGCGCCCAAAAGTGCTGCCCGGGTCGCGTGTTCGCGCCGAGCGCCTCCGCCAGAGCCAGGGCCCCCTCGCGGCCGATGGAGTTCATCCCTAGGTCCTCGGTCCAGAGCTTAGGGTTTAGGGTTATGGGTGCTTTTGATGAGGTTTAATATAGGGTTTAGGCTTTGGGTTTATAGTTTAGGGTCTAGGATTATGGGTTTTTGTTTCTAGGGCTTGAGGGTTTAGGTTTAGGGTTTATGACAGGGCTGGCTTACGCTCCATCGTACCCCCAACTGCATGACGGTTTTGCATTACTACGAAAACGCTACGTGCTACTGCGTAGTCCTCAGCACCACTCTCTCCATGTTGGTAACCTCTCTGTTGGCATAATGTGAGATTCGTAGCCTCCTTAGTCTTGTTGTGTTCTTGTGCTGCTGCTGCTGCTGCTGCT